CAGGAGAACCAAGAGGGACGCACTCCCCGTCTCTCTCCCTGCACAGGTCATCCTACAGGGCGACCAAGGCAGATTCAGTACTATACCCGGGTATGAAGCCGGACTGAAATGGGTCCAGATAATCAGTCTCATCCAAGAGAGCTTGCAGTTGTCCCGCCACCACCCGCTCCAGCACCTTGCCCAAAAATGGGATGTTGGCCACCAGTCTATAATTGGCGGCCATCTCTGGATCCAGGGACTCCTTCTTTAGGACTGGCCTGACCACCGCCTCCTTTAGAGGGGCAGGCACCCAGCCGTCCTTCAAAGAGGCATTGATGACCTCCCGGATCCAGGAACCAATCCCGTGTTTGGCTTTGGATAGTAGTCACAATGGGCAGGGGTCCAGTACACAGGTGGTGGTACGTACTTGTCCAAGCACCTTGTCCACATCATCAGGCTGCAGTAACTGAAACTCATCCAACAATGTGTGACCAGACGGTAACATTGGCACCTCCCCTAAGGAATCTGAGTCACAGATGTTCTCACCCCCGCCCTTTCCCTCTAACCAATAAGCATTTTGGTGGTTTCCTAGCTTTTGGTGCAGTTTTTGCCATTTTAAAAGGTTCCAAAGCCTCTCCTGTGGCTTAATTATTTGCAGTAAGAGATTCAAGCAATAATATGCTGGGGGTGGAGTGGAGGTGTTGGTATTCTAATCCCACCCCCTCTGCCTTTGGTTTTACTCACAAAATGCAGCCTGAGAGCTCTTCCAAAAATTGCCCTTCAGATTGAAAGAGCTCCCCCACCTCAGCTTACTGCACTTGTAAATGTACACTACTATACTTCGAAAACCTTCTAGAAGGACCCTGCAGAAGGGGATAGAACTGTTCCTGGGGAAAAGCTGAGATTGTATTTCAGCTTTGTCCCAGAATGCATTTTAACACATTTAACAGCTTTTTGCAAGTGTGCTCAAAATAATCTATCCCTGGAGTGCTGCAGGCTATTGCCTATACACTGTGTTTCAGTAAGACAAGAGAGAATTCTTTATAACTACAAAGAATATCTGCACTGCTGAATAAAGAGAAAATGCTGCATTTAAGGACACCTAAAATCTTACTGTCACCAGTTTAGGAACTGGTAAAAAATGGAGAGCTATTTCCAGGTTTAGGCTGTAGTTACATCTGTTTCGTTTATTAACCTGATAGCATTCCCATGGCTTGTCACTGATAAACACATGCAATGGGGTGATGAACTGCAGACTTGAAGGGATGCCAAGGCAAAGAGAGGGAGGACCCAAGTTTGGTGGAATCTTTTGGGAATTGTTTTTTCAGTTTGAGGGAAGATTTATTCTCCTTTTGCTCCAGTCATGAGGATGCATTCTGTCAAGAGACATCAAAAAAGATGCATTCTTTCAAAACAGAGATTATACATTTAGGCTATCCTTCTCTTTTCTAAAATAAATTCCTATATCCATACTAACCAAGCAAGAAAGAAACAAGTTAAAAAAAATTAAAAATCAGAACTTGACTTCTTACAGAGATTTTAGAACTTGCACATAAAGAATTCTCCATTTAAAGGTATTCACTTAGTTTCCATGTTCTGCTAATGTAATTTAGTCACTATCCAATGGAATACCTTTAGAATGTGATCTATACAAGATGGCATAAAAAATAATTTCACTGGAAGAATGCCTCATTGCTTGACTGCATGAAGGTTAGAAAGAGAAGGTTGACTTATTCCCTTCAGAATAAATTTACCTAACTTAACTTTAAGAATTGCAAATATTATCAAGAAAAACCAAACCAAAACTCCATAAGCAAATTGATAGATTGATAGCTGGCTTCAGAGCCCTAGACAATTTTTAAAACAAAAGGCTGAGATCCTAATCTTCATCTACCCACAGCAACTGCTTCCAGCATGTACCACGTCTGCTCCCTTTAATTCTCACTTCCTTCTCCATGGCTGCTCCTGGTTGGGCTTGTTCTTCCTCCCTCCCTCCAGGGCTGTAATCCCCTTGTGATTCCTGCACACAGTTAGGCTGCTCAAATCATATTAACTAGATTTAAGCAGCCTGCTTTTAAGCAGGATTTCAGTCACCATCCCTGTTCACTACCTTGCTCTTGCTCTCTATCCCTCTCTAGGCATGCTTGGGACTCCCTCAGTCCAGATGTTTAGCTGTCGGTAAAGTTGTTTCCTCAAACCCAATGCCACCTGTTCTCTATTGTACTCCTGCTCCTCCTGAGGTGGAAGACCTCCTGACTCTGTAAGACAGTCGGGCCCCATGCAGGCCAAGCATAATAGCCAAGGCTACATCATCTTCAGTACGACTTCATTTGTATGGCAACTCACTAAAGTTCACTCTACCAGCTGCATATATAGTTATAAATTTTGAACTGCAGGAATTCATGTGATAGCTCCTGTAGGCAGAGCACAGGCAGGGTTGGCGGTCCGGAGGCAGAAAAGTACATGGTGCTTCTCACCCCCAAAAGTCAAGGGAATGGTACCATAGGCAGGTCAGGCTATGTTAACACCTGAGAAAGAGCACAACTCCTGCTGTGAACAATGTAACAGAGCTGCATTTCTTCCATGTTCCCTCTCTACCACACCATGGCTCTTATCACTACTTGAGCCACTTCAGGAAGGTGATGGGGGATCCCCAGAATCTTTTCTGTAATCTCAAGGCTACTTCCAGGCAGATTGGACTAGCTAAAGTGCTCTCCCTCTCAAAAATCAAATCAAATCAAATCAAATCAATACATTTTCAGAGATGGGTACATCTCTCAAAGCAACCATTCATTTGTTGCGTTAATATTTATTATTTAAATATAGCCTCTCCCAATATTTATTGTTGCTATTTATGTATGCATGTATTTTGTATGACACCATTATCACTGTGAATGGCACTTTGCAGAGAACATGAGGACTGTTTCCTGCCCCAGAAAGTTTAAAATCTAAAAAATTTCACAGAAGAAAGGAAAGGATGAGGAATGGAGAGAGGAACAAACGGGGAAGCACTACACAGTTGTTTTAGGTGTGGGTGCATACACTTAGCAATTATACATGGGCATGGGAACAAGTGAAAGGCTTGTATCAAAGCCTCCATGGTAAAGGTGGGATTTGAAGAGGCATCCGAAGTAATAGAGGTGGTACCACACAGATGCTATGCAAGGCAGGCCAGACTATATGGGGGAAAGGGGGAAAAAGGACAGGACCATTTGAGGGAGCAAATGGTTGAACATGTTGGAGCTTGTAGAGGAGAGATCATTGACAGGAACATACTGGGCTGTATCAACTGGTAGTGAAGACTCACAGGATGATACATGCCAAGGCCAGTGGATCTAGAGCAGCTCAGGACTTCATGGTCATTGACCCAACACATATGGCAGGACACACTCTGGATGTGGTTTCCTGTTGGGCATGAGGTTGGTGATCTGAAGACAGGAGTCATCCTTGTCGTGGCCAGATCATTTCCTGTCAAAGTCTATACTTTTCATTACTGTATCCTTAGTTAAATAGAGATGTTGGGGCACTCTTCTGCAGTTATTCCAGAAGGTGGTGCTGGGAGATTATTGCTTTGCTCCACAGCAACTGAACTCTATTTTACCTGCCATGCTGTTCGATTAAGATCAGCAATCTCAATCACACTGAGGGAACTGATTCAGTGATGTGTGGAGCATTGTCTCTCTCCTTTTCATCTATTATTGGTGAGGTAGGTGATGTTCTGAACCTGAGCTTGGACAGAATGGACATGGGCCTATAAACTGAGATTCAGCCCCTTCAAAATGGGGATAATTGTCATGTGTGGTTCTTCTGTATGGTTAAGCGCTTTTCAGTGTGTTGGGAGGGGAGGCGATACACGGAAATGGAACAGCAAATGACTTCCTCTCTCCATGCACATGCGAACCCCAAAACTCAGCAGTACAGTTTTCAAGTAAAGCCACTTCACTTGAGTAGCTGAGGCAAAAATCCTACAAGTACCATGCGGGTTCATGAATCCAAAAGCAGCCGCAGGGGATGCTGGGCATTCTTTTCCAACACACTTGGAGGGCAGCAAGTTGCGCACAGCTTTGCTGCCTGACGGCGGGGCCTCCCTCTCCTCTCCAGGGCGCGCTCCCTCGCTGTGCCAGAACCGGGGCGGAGGCAGGCAGGCAGCAGGTGCAGGCCGGGTTCCGAGGCCCTCCTCCAGGCACCCCCGCACTTCCAATTTATTCGTCACGGGGCAGGCTGGGATTTTAACGTGGGGGGCTGTCGGCATCGTTTTGCTTTCCTCATGCCAAGGGGGGAGGGGTCGGCGGAGAAAGCACACACCGAACCAAAGCGGCAGAAATGAAGAGCGGAGGAAGCAGGCGCTTTCGGCCTGAGTTCTGTATCGTTCCCTTTGAGCGCGACCCACCCTTTCCTTAGCAGGGGGAGCCTCAAAATAAATACAGACCGCGTCGGCTCTGCGGATCGTCCGCAGAGAAGAAAACCAACCAGGGCGTGATTGACTTAAGGGCTGAGCCGCTGCAGTGCCCACTGTCCGCCAATGACGGTGCTGGCGGAGCAGGCGACGGCGCGCAGCCTCTTATCTTGCGAGCTGCCCGGCGATTGTCTTGGGTTTCCTTTTCGCCACCGTTAAACCTCCCTTCCGTGGGTCTACAGGCGATTTGAGATTTAAGGGCTTTCTTTCCCACCTCTTCCATCAAACGGTCTCGGAAGCTGCAGAAAGAAACGGCGTGGACTGAGCCGGTGCAACACAAGCGAAGCGCAGCAACGTTTCGTTTTCGCTGGAGAGTGGAGCACAACTTTGGAGGGTGCCTTCCGACAACCTGGTCCATGCGTGTTGTGGCCCAACCCCTCCGTTATGTGCAGTAAAGGAAAGGGACAGTATAAAGCCCTGTCACGCACCTAGGAGAGCGACTGCGCAGGTGGCATCCAAACGAAACTGTACGGTAATCGAGAGAGAGAGACCAGCCGTCGTGGGGCGGGCACGCCTCCGCCCTTCTACCGATCCCTCACGCCCTCCGGCTGCGCAGATTGCGACAGGCGAGGATATCGCTTCCTCACAGCAAGAGTCAAAGCTCTCGGCTGAAAGGTAGCTTGGCAGCAGGTAAGATCATCTCATCGGATTTGGGTCCTGAGAAGGCTCGAGGCTAAGCAGGGACGAACAAGAGAAGGATGGGCGAGGAACCGTGGCTAGGCAGAAGGTTGTTGTCACTCACGCTTGTGCTTAAGGCCGCCGGGAAGGAGGCAGAGAATAATGCGAACACGCCGACTATCCGCATGTTGGTAACAGAGGTTATGAACTTGGGTTCTGAGTAAAATAGGATCTCTCCCCACCGATGTCTTATTTGATTAAGTACCTAACTTCAAAACCTCGCTGTTACATTGCTGCTGGACAGCTTGCTGTTCCTGTAGGCATGTGCACCATGCATGCATCCTAGGTTGGAGGGCATACGCATCAGGCGGCAAGCACTTGCCAAGGTCAGGAAGGAAGGAAGGATTCTTCTGTATGCCCCCACCCCTCCCGCACGCCCCTGCCATACCTTCAGCTGCTAGAAGGTATGACCAGGTAAATCCCAGACCATGATAGCACACAATTTGGATATAGAGCCTGACCACACATTAGGTTGTTGGTTTGTGCATCAAAATATGGTTCTGCCACCTGCCTCATTGTCTGGAAAACATCACTGCTCTGTTGCACCTGTCCACATTAACCACAACCAGCTGGGATGGGGCGTTTGAAATGTGTTTTCGTATGTGTTTACTTATATTACTGAATTCCCACACATTGATGTAACAACCCCAAGTGAATTTCACACACGCATACACATTTTTGAAGGATGGAAATCTATTGTTCACACAGTAAACTATGGTCTCATGGGCTCTTTTCTGCTCCCTTAACCTGTCATACATGCAATAATTACTTAGCACATTTATTGTATCACACTTACTCTACTTCACCAAGAAATGAGATGTTCCAAGTAGTTTCCTGGGAAAGTGGTCACTGAAGCTGAAACATTGGCGGTTTGTGATATCTGCAATTGCTTACAATTTTAGGAATATACATAAAGGCACCTGTCTTAAACATTCCAGCAGACAGCCAAAGTCCACTTCTCCCATATCACAGCACCTTAAGATGCTTACAAATTTATTTCTCGGTCTCCCAATCTGATTTGCATGACATAACAGCCCTCCCTGGGTTTTCTAGCCCACAAGGTTGCAACAAGTGTGGGGCATGGGTGGCCACCATTTTGCATATCCAGCCCTGCCTGGGAGTTGTCCTGTTGTTTATACTTGGCAATCATGATTTATATGAGGATTAAGGAACATTTGCTGATTCTTAGAACAGAACTAGAACAGCAGGAGTTGTTGGTGGATTTTTGACCATGGATTATTTGAGGGTTTTTCCTTCTCCAATACCCCTTGCTGCCTGGGTAAGAATGACAAAGCAAAGCATGGTCATGGGGGACTTAAATTTCATAATGTCTCTTGACATGCATCATAGCAATTTCATGCATTGTGAATATTGATTTTGGCTTATCTGGACTCACCCCTAGATTGCAACAACTTTTATCAAAAGTAGGTATGTGTGGGCGGGAGACAAACCCCATTTCCAAAACTGCTGTTACCATCTAAGATTCTTCATCTTTCTCTTTATCATTGTGGACCACTTACCCGAAATTTGCTTTACAAAGGAATTATTCCATCTTGGCCAGGACCATTAAGGGAGTGCCCAAAAGCACTTCTCTCCTGTCCAGTTTCACAAGGATATATACTTTGGCCACATGTACGGTGCTATGGCAGAGGCAGACTGTTGCAGGTTTTACTTCTCTTGCAAATCCAGAGGTCAGGTGTCCATTTGTGTCCTTGCCTTGAAAAGTAGGACAAGAATGTGCCTTAAATGGAGTACCTTATGGGAGAGCAAGGCTGTTAATATTTGATTACATTGAAATATGTGCCTTTTTGTTATAGGTATTTAACCTTTACATCATCAGGCACAGCTTCCATGCAAGGCTCTGTTTCTTGACTAATTACTGGAATTAGGAATTTGGAATACCAAACCTTGTATTTTGGAGAAATAGCCAAAGTAGATGTTTTGAGATGTTACCCGGTTGACATTATATCACCTCTTGTTCAGCACTTATCATTTGTAGGAGACCTGATATAAAGGGTCTGTTCTTGCACCACACTGGTAAAGGAACCAGAGCATCACCTGTGTACCAAAGTAGACTTTTTCACTGCTAGGTTAGGTTCCCTGAAGTTCTTATATCCCAAAATGCAAAAATAAGGGAGTCCCTTCATCATCAGGAGCCTATCTGTTCTCATTCTACAGGGAGGAAAGAGTGTTTCCTACTAGTCATACATAGTAGTGAGAATGATGGTTAGAGAAAATTTCACAACATTTAATTGGTCTGGCAGAAGGCACAGTGAACTAAAAGAAACGTTCATTTAAATTGCATGTAGTGTGGTACATTGGGCACCAACTTGTACATAGGAAACTTGGAACAGCTCACAACTGGACTTTTTATCAATTCCTATGATGACTGCAGTTAAACTATACTCTAAGCCAGGGGTCTCAAACTCAACTTACCTGGGGGCTGCTGGAAGCAGAGTCTGGGTGAGGCTGGGCCGCATCAAGCAGTCCACCCCCGCGGTGGTGGTGGGCCGCTCATCCCGCGTGGCTCCCGGAGGCCGGCCCGGGCGCCGCCGGCGCTTTGAAGGCTGCAGGACCCCTCCCCCAGGCCCCGCCCCTCCCGGCAATTGGCCCGCGGGCCGCGAGTTTGAGACCCCTGCTCTAAGCTCTTGTTGCCTACTGCATGATGAAATCCTTTGTATTTTTGTATGATCTAAAAGACAATTCCATGTAGTAATGATCCAGCCGTGGTCCATAATGTGAGTAAATGTATAAGTTAGTACTTCATGTGAACTGCCCAGAGCACTTTGGCTTCCTGGCAATATGCAAATATGATAGATAAATAAATAAAGCTACCCCAGGTTTAGAATTTGCCTTTAATATTCCCAATCAAAGAAGAACCCTAAAGATTATCATAAATTAAGATTTCCTCCTTTGAAGAGCAGGCTGTTCACAAAAACAACTGAGTTCATGTGCATTGATACAAGAACTACAGACTATGGCAGATTTCCCCAACACGGTACCCTGCAAATGCCTTTGACTACGATCTATCATCATCACCCAGCATTGCCACTAAGGAGAGTTGTAGTGGGGAAACGCATCTATGGGAATGAGACTAAACTTTATCAAAGTTTCTCCTAATTCATTCTCTGAAGTAACAACAGTATGTAAAATAAGATATTCTCAGTGCCATTGTGATTGCATTTCCTGGGACCTGTTCTGGTCAATCTCTCCCAACATGATATCCTACAGATGTTTTGGACTTTAAATCCCACCAAGCCTAGCTGGCATATCCCATGGTCAGGAATCTGCTATCACTTTGGTAAGCTGCTCAGTGAATTAGTTTCAGCAAAAAAGAGAATTGTTATCATTTCTATGGAAGTGTGTGGAGAGTTCACAATTGTGTCTTGGTCTGCATGAGTCACTTCTTACCATCACCTAGTATTCTGGCAGAGCTGGGTATCTTCTCACCTGCTAAATGTCTGAAAGAGGCATTCTCTTTCAGCACAATATTGTGAACCTGGAGGATCCAGCATGCATTGGGCTTAGCGTCCAGGAGAACCCAAGAACAGCCTGCACTGTTTGTTCTAGCCCAGGTTTTTCAAACCACTACAATATTATTTACAAGATTCTTCAGATTTCCACATATGAATAGTCACCAGTAGGTGTACAAAATGCCAACATCTGGGAAATGTTGCCTCCCATTTTTTTATCAGGTTGCTGTGTTTTCTCCTTAAGCATCAAAACTCACTTGTCACAATTACATGGAAGTGCTTAAATGTAGACATGTTGGTATTTCTTATTAATCATGCCCTTTTATCCATTGGTGTCATTGTAAACTGAGTAGTTTTCCTGTACAGAAAACTTAGACATGGGACCCAGTCAGTCTCCAGTGGTTTCTGTTGCATGAAACTAGTTGTGCTATGTGGGGGTGCTCATGTGCAATGTAAATGCATGCATCCATTTCAGTGTGTCTAGATGTGTAACACAGAGATGTGCGATTCACCATAACTGCACCACAAGCTCTGGAAGTAATACCTAGATAGGATGAATAGATTTTGCCTTTGAAAGCACTATTTTTAAAGGATGATATCAGTTGTCACTAATAGTCTTTGTCAGTGCAAAAGAGTATGTATTTATCTCTCTAACAGCTGAGTACATTTGTATCTTTGTTTTAAATCCCCAGCATAAAATTGCTTGCTAAAGTAATACACATGGTTTGGTCTCTTTCTACTGAGCCCTTTTTCTATCACTGCCAAAATTGTTAGCATATCCTGGCTAATGCTCCCAAAGAAAATGCTTTACTTCCAGTAAAGTGTTTCATTAGGTGAGTCCTCAAGATGGTTATTTACTGTCAAATGATGTTATTTTGGAGCTGCCAGAGAAGAATGCTATGGCAAATGTATCAGATGAATGGGTTCTGAAAATTCTTACCATTGAGGCCTAAAGGAGGTACTACATGGCAGACTTGTGTAACTGAGAAATAGTGATGGGAGGACTGTTTAATCCCTTTCCTTCCAGTTGTTTTCCTACTCAGAATCCCTACCACCACCACAGCTGCTCTTCCACTTGCTGGGAAAATGGGTGGAAAAGCAGGTGGAAGGCCATTTTGGGTAGGAAAATAGCTGGTGGGGAAATGATTGCACATATGAGTTGCTTGTAATATTAACATATTACCCTGTTCATATGAGTAGACAGCTTGTGTGAGCAATTATTTGTGAAAGTGACCAGCTAGCAGGATATTAGCATCTATTTGCAAGAGAAACTTCCACTCTACCATTCATACATTATGAGATCCATTTTTCCCCTGACACATAAATCAATATTCATTTTGAAAAGAAAAGACACATAAGTAACCATGTGTGAATCTGTGGCTCTACTTTTCCATTATCCCAGTCTGTAACCCAGGAAGTATCTGTAATTTCAAATTATGGGTTCCAAAAAGGTGGATACCTTTTGGTGAACTGTTATTG